TTTTTTTTTTTTTTTTTTTTTGGTACCGGGGTTCGAACTCTGGATCTTGGCAGAACCACTGAGCTAAATCCCTCACCCTAACTTTAAAATGTTTAGTAAGCAAGAAGGAGAAAATAAAGCAGAGACGTAGTGTTTAATAAGTAGCCATATAAGGAGTCTTACAGTAGCAGTTCACGGAAGAGTCCGTGTCCACTGGGTGAGGACCCAAGGATGGTGCTCAGAGGTGACCACTGCTCATTCACCCAGATGGGGCTGCCTGTGCCAAGTATGTGGGGTTCCTGTGTGGCCCTGGACCGCGCTGCATAGGTGTAGTTTCAAGCTCAAGTTGACCGTGACTTTATCACTGGAGTGCACTTCAGGGGGAGGCCGCGTGTGGCGCCAGGCCGCCCTCTCTGGTCTGGTAGGTGGTGGAAGCCGTTTGTTTCTCTGTGACACTATGATAGTCTTGACTGTGTTTTTTTGTTTGTTTTTTCAGACAGGGTCTCACTATGTAATTGAGACTCACCTGGAACTCACTGTGTAGCCTAGGCTGGTCTCAAACTCACAGGGATCCTCCTGCCTCAGCCTCCCAGTGCTGGGATAATAGGCGTGTGCCACCACGCCCGGCATCTTGACTGTGATTTAAATCATGAGTGGTGCTGCATCAGGCGTGCGGCCTCCATTTCTGCATCCCATGGAGGACACAGGACCAGGCTTCTTTCTGGTTTCTGTTCGCCTTTCTCAGGCTGGACACTTCCTTTCCCTCCGTGTTGAAAAGCTATTCTGACCCTTGGCTGTGGCCATCCAGGAATGAGGCATAGATGGGCAGCAGCCAGAGGGAGATTCAAGTGCTGAGCCACAGTCGCTGGGCAGCATGGGCACCGGGCGCGGGGTTCTGACTTGGCGTGTCTGGCCTTGCAGTGAACTTCGAGGCGCTGATCATCACCATGTCTGTGCTGGGTGGTTCCGTCGTGCTGGGCATCTCCGTGGCCTGCTGCTGCTGCTGCTGCAGGAGAAAGAGGAGCCGTAAGCCCGATAAGAGCGATGAGCGGGCCATGAGGGAGCAGGAGGAGAGGCGAGTCCGGCAGGAGGAGAGGTGAGGCCGGAGCAGGGACCTTTGTAGTCTCACTCAAGGGGCCCAGGTTTGGGAGTTTGGTGCACTGGGGACTGGCTGCACCTCACCCTGCCCTGTGCTGGGGGTGCGGTCCAATGCCAGGCTTGTGCCACCTGGGAACCTGCACCTTTCCACAGGGAGGGGAGAGTCTGTCTTCTGTGTTGGTGTTGTTAATGTACTTTGATGCTGTCTGGTTTTTCATTTTATTTTATTTATTTTTTGTAGAAGAGCAGAGATGAAGTCAAGACATGATGAAATCAGAAGAAAATACGGTAAGAGTCACTGCGTCTCCTTTCTGTTGGTTGGGAACCAGTGCCGAGCCACTCCTCCTGGGCGTGGTGGGCAGCTCTGTCTCCTCTCCTCCTTGTGGACTGGTGCTGGCTCACAGAGCAGAGGCTGGAACCTCCACAGAGCCGCTGGAGCGCATAGTCCCTGTGCCCTGGAGCGGGCTGTGCCTGGCTGCAGCTCAGCCCTGAGCCTCCACGCCTGCTGTCGTGCCTTTGCCTTGTGGATGCGGTGTGTGACCCTCCTGTCCAGAGACTGGCTTGCCTGAGGTCTGTCACCCCTGCTGGGTGCTTTGTCTCACTTGGTTTGTTCAAGTCTGACAGAGATGCGGGGGGAGTGTGTGTTAAGTGTGCGCATTTCACCTGGTTTGCTCTTCTTCTGGAAAGAATGCCATGACCTTCTCTGGCATCACCTTCCACTGTCTGTACCTGTTTGTGGTGGGTGCTGGGCATGTTTAGAGCCCCTGGTGGCCAGGAGCCTCCTGACTGGGTTTGGGGCTGCATGGTGAGGTGCGGTGGGCACTCACCCTGGCCTGCCTGGCCTGCAGCCTCCTGCTGGGAGCCTGCACCCTGTGAAAGGTGGACTCTTAGGGAATGCCCTTTCCAACAGGAGGTTTTGTGTTCTTATTTGAATGAGGGAGGTGATATTTTGGGGTTCTTCAGTATCCTCCCTGCCTGGGACAGACCCTGCCACTGGGCAGGGGTATTGTGGCACCGGTGCACAGTGGCTCCAACTGGGGACATCCTCCTGTCCCTCTGGCGGGCTAGAGGGGACCCCGTGCTGCAGTGCCTCTCATGGACGGGGCTGCCTGGAGTCAGCTGTGGGAACTGAAGCCATTGCCCTGTTGTGGCTGTGGCCTCACTGTGCAGCATGCTGCCCACACAGCCCTCCTGGTAATGGCTGGTTCTGGTTCCGGCCCACTTACCTTGTGCTGCTTGAGACAGACTGATGATCTTCCTTCCTTCTGTAGCCATAGTTTGAAAGGTATCTTGGTGATAATAGGGACCTTTAGAGTAAGGTGGTTTTGTTTTCGCTTTGTATAAACTCTAAAGCTGTGGAAAGAAGTATTTTCTTTAAGTTTCTCAATTTGTTTGTGAACATCAGCAAACATGTCTTTTGTTTCTTAGGACCTGTTGGAATTATTGTTTCCTGGAAATTTCACTTCAGTTTGCTTGTTTAATGTACTGTCCATTGAAAAATTAATTTAAATTTTGAGGAAAGGACTGGCTGAGTTTCGCAGGCTGCTCTTAAACTTGGAATCTACCTGCCTTAGCCTCTCAGAGTGCTGTGATTACATAGCATGTGCCACCACACCTGGCTTCATTTCTGGTTTTTTTTGGTTGTTGTTTTGGGGTTGTGTGTGTGTGTGTGTGTGCGCGCGCGCGTGTGTCTGAGATCAACTTGGGCCCGTGTGTCTTAACCACTGAGCTGACTGATCTAAATCCCCAACCCTTGATTTGTTTTTGAGTCAGTCTCACTGTGTAGTTCAGGCTGGCCTTGAACTCATTGTGTACCCCAAGCTGGCCTTGAACTCATGGAGATCCTCCTGCCTCAACTTCTTGGTGCTGTGATTTCTGTTATGAGCCACCACGCCCAGCTCTAACTTCTGTTTTTTAGTTTTTCGGTTTTTTCGGTACCAGGGATGGAATCCCAGACATTGTGCTCTCGAGGCAGCAGCGGAACCACTGAGTTAAATCCCTGGCTGTTTTTTTTTTTGTGTTTGTGTGTGTGGTACTGGGGATCGAACTTGGGGACCTTGTGTTTCTGAGGCAGATGGTGGAACCACTGAGCTAAATCCTTGGCCCCTTCAGTCTAGACTTTAGCAAGGCCCTGTCTCAAAACCAAAAAAGCAAACTTCACGTAAAACTTAGCACTTACATAGCATTTGAGAATCTTGTTTCCTGTTGAGTGAGTGACTTTGTAACTCAAGTTATTTGTTTGTTTGTTTGTTTGTTTTTCAGGTTTGTTTAAAGAGAAAAACCCATATGAGAAGTTTTAAGACAACTCGCGCGCACTTTGGACAGTTCAGGCGACCCTGGAGTGTCCTGTGGGGACACCTCGCGCTCTTGCTGCCCCTGGCCCAAATGACTTTTCGGACTGGCCGGGGGCTGCCCCCAGGACAATCCCCTCTTCCACAAGCCTGTGGCCTCCGTCCTCAGTCACACCAGGCTGGACGGGGTCACACTGCTCCTTGCAGCTGGTTCCGGGCAGAGCTTGGCACCCGCGCTGCCACTTCCTATCCTCTCTGCGTCACTGGGGGGCCGGGGCCTGTCACCGTGTCACGGGAACAGTGGTGTGGTGTCCCTGTGCCCCACGCACATTGTGTAGTGTGGAAGAGCCAGAAACAGTTTCACCAAAAGAGGCTCTTTATGTGAAATTCAGGCTCCTTTGGGGGGAATTTTGTATTCGTCTTTAACGGACCGTGAAAGGGGCTGGGGATTTAGCTCAGTGGTTCCTGCCACCTGCCTCACTAAGTGTAAGGACCCGAGTTCAATCCCTGGTACAAAACAAAACATCACGAAAGCACATTTCCCCACTGAAACTTAGATTGTAGCTGTGGTCAGAACACCCCACCGCCCCTCTGGGGTCCCTCCCAGCAGTGTGGATGGAAGTGTTGTCCCCAGGGTCCCTGTACCCCGCCTGCCCACTCTGGGATCCTGGGGGACGGCAGGTATGCTCCGAGGAAGAAGGGCTGTGCCCTGCACAGGCCACAGGGAGCAGGCCTATCCCCACAGACTCGGTTCTGGGCCCAGTGCGCTGTGGGAAGTTGGTATAGCCTGGGGCCGGGTCCTCCTTGGAAAGTGGCGGGTGGCCATGGCTCGCAGACCAGCAGTGACCTTCACCAGGCCTTCAGGCCCGTTCTTCGACTTGCGGGGCGCTTGATAGTAATTGAAAGTATTGCGAAACGTTCATAAGTATTTTATAATAGAATTTTGCCTTCTCTTTAACTCACAGGAACTTTCTAATGGACTAATGAACTTTGTATTAACACAGCAGCACAATGTCAAATCACTTTGATTCAGGTCGCCCACCGAAGTAGAGCTACCCACTGTGGTGGAGCGCACTTAACTCTGAGCCAGCGCAGCACAGAGCTGTGCCCTTGGAGACCAGCAAGCCCACAGTGCCTTACTTTGTAATCCATTTCCAATAAAGGGTGTCAGGCCCTCTTGTCTGCGGTGCTCCCTGTGCCCACCTCCCCAGGGGAAGGAGGGTGCCCAGGGCAGTAGCCTTTCTGGGTGGGGCCCACTGGAGCAGGCACACATGCCGGAATTGTGCCTCTCCCAGCCGTCTCCTCGTCCGGTGCCGTCCCTCTACAGGGTTTTTTCCTCCTGTTTGGTTAGTGTTGGGCACCTAGAACTCAGCAGTCTTGCCCTGGGGCGGTGTGGCTAGGGACCCTGTGCATGACCTCGTGTGCACAGCACCTGGCCCAGGCAGTGTGGGCCTCGTGGGTGGTGGTGACCGCCTGGGCGAGGGTACTCCGATCCCTGGCCATGAGTCGGCCCGGTCAAGTAGAGTGGAAAGGAACTCGGGCAGCAGGCTGACCTGCTTTCAGGGAGGTACAGACGTGAGGTGGGAGCTGCTGCACGGGTGCGCCAGCACCACCCTCACCCCTTGCTGCAGGTGGTGCCCACTTGGCCAGCCCTTCCTGTGCACTGGATAGTAGAGCTCAGGGCAGTGGGACCCACCCCAGCCTGTGCCCTCAAACAGGCGTCTGCTGGACCTGGTGCTGCCCCACCCCAGCAGCTGCCCTGCCTAGGGCTGGTGTTGGCCAAGCAAGCTGTCCAGGAGCCAGATGAATCCCAGGGCAGTGGCTGCCTGTGCAGACCGCACCCACCCTGGGCAGGGACAGAAGAGACTGGCCTGCCCACCTGCCCTGTAAGGAAGGCTGTGAATGTCCCCAGAAGGCTACTGCCACTGTGTGCTTGCTGTACCGCAGGACCACCATCCCTGTGTTCCGTTGAGTGGGGGCTGTGTGGCCTGAGGCGTAGGCACTGGGGAGGGGTGTGGGTTAGGGCCCTGGCCTGGAGCACGCTGAGCAATCGCCTGGACTGGCTGTGAGTTTGGACGACTCCTGCCTCAGCCTCCTGTAGTGTCCTGGCTGTTGTCTCACCTTAGTGGGCTCAGCTCCATCCCAGGGAGGGGGGACCTTCCAGCCAGGGGAAGGGGTCCTGTGGGTCCAGAGCCACTGCGGGAGCTCCTGAGCAGCAGGAGCTCACACCTAGCTGTGACTCATGGTTCTGTCATGGAGGTCACTGGTGCTGGTCTGCAGCCAATCCTCTGCCTGGGGATGTCCCCCAGTCCAGCTCCATGCTGAAGCCCCCAGCCCAGGCTCTCAGGCCCCAGCAACACCATGCACCTCCCACCCGCAGCTGAGTACAGGACCCCCAGCCTGCCCCAAGTTCCCACCCACACCCCAACCTTGAGGACCATCCTCCCTCATCAAAACCACTGCCGACCAAGTCTTGAGCTTTGCTTCTGGTGCTCCAAATGGCCACTACATCACAGCCGGGGTATTGGGAGCAGACTGCACGTTGGGGTTGCCCTGCCTGGCTCAGATGTCCTGAGGCCAGAGAGTTCTCAGGACTGTCAGGCCGTGTGGTATCTCCAGGTCCAACTGGAGGCCTGAGAAGAGCAGGTGTGGTAGCCTGTGTGGGTCCCACCACCCATGGAGACCCAGGCACGACACAAGTGGGGAGCTGGCAGGGGCCCAATGGCTGGGCACCATGAACTTGATGGGCCAAAGTGTTGTCCAAGAGGTTTGTGTCTATGCTTGCACGTTTGCTTTTTCGTGCTCTGCTAGTGCTGGAAAGAAATTTCCATGGCTCCCTGTGGTATAAGAGGTTTGGTAGAGCTTTATTTTTAGTTTTTGAGTCAGAGTCTTACTAGGTAGCCCATACTGGCTTCAAACTTGGAGCAGTCCTGCTTCAGCCTCCTGAGTACCAAGATTGCTGGGTGCACCACCACACCCAGGTTTCTTTGGGGGGGTTCGTGGTAGAATATATGTAAGAAGGCTGGAGGAAAGGTCCTTTTCAGGAGCAGGGGGTTTAAATTCTGCACTTTTTTCCCCAGGGTTATTCGTCTGTTTGAGCTGGCAAGGGTTTTTTGTTTGTTTTGGTTTGGTTCTGAGGACTGAACCTGGGCCCATGCTAAGCAAGTGCTGTACTGCTGAGCTATGTCCCCAGCCCTTCACCAGGTAAACTATATTTTAAGACAGAGTCTGTTAGTTGCCGTCCTCAGGAGGTGTGTGTGGGGGGGGTACAGGCTTTGTCTCAGTTTCAAATATATATATATAAAATATGTATTTTTGGTACCAGAAATTGAACTCGGGGCCTCACGCTTGCCAGTCAGGCATTGCATGACTGAGCTCTGTCCCTGACCCTTCATTTTTGAGACAAGGTTTCACCATGTAGTCCAGACTGGCCTTAAACTCACTACATAGCCCAGGCTGGCCTCAGACTGGCCTCAGCCTCCCAAGTGATCCTTCTGCCTTAGCCTCCTGAGTGGTGGGACTATAGGCTTGTGCCACTGCTCCTGGATGCCTTGATACTAATATTAGCAAAGTGAAAAACCTCAACTCTCGTAGTTACGTCTGTCCTTTTGATTCCTACCGCTTTTTGCATTCTTTATGATTGTAACCCTTTTTTTTTTTTTGCTTTGCAGTGCTGTGGAGTGAACCCAGGGCCTTCACACTGCACATACCAGCCCATTTTTTAAATTTTGAACAGGGACTTGCTAAGTTGTCCAGGCTGTGTACAAACTCATAATCCTGCCTCAGGCTCCCAGAGTGCTGGATTGCAGGTGGTGTGGTGCTCACTCTGTTTTTGATGGGTGGGTTTGAGACAGGGTCTCACTATGTAGTTGAGACTGACCTGGAACTCAAAGCCCAGGCTGGTCTTGGAGTCAGCGATCCTCCTGCCTCAGCCTCTCAAGTGCTGGGATTACAGGTGTGTGCTAGCACACCCAGCTCCACTGTCTTATTTGCATTCCACAGGAGCGGTTGGAGCATCCGTTGTGGGGTGTCCTTTTCCTTCCTTCTGGGGCAAGGCATGCTGAGTCCCCTCCCACCTGGCCTGCTGGGGTGGCCAGGCTCTGCAGGAGTTGGTACACAGGAGGATGTATGACTCAGCCTGTGCCCCAGGGCCTTGCACTGTGGCCTGGGCCTCTCATGGGAGAGGTGTCACTGTCCCCCTGGGCCCTGAGAGCTGACACCCAGCACACTCGGTGGCAGTGAGGCCCAGGCCACATGGTACTCTGTCAGCTTCAGCCCAAGCTGGTGACTTGGAAAGCATGCTGCAAATAAAAAGTTGCTATAAGCCTTTGAGTTTGGAGAGTTCATTATTCAGCAAGATACTGGATACATTATTTGGATTTTATTCGGTATACAAAAATAACTAGTATTTTTACATACCAAAAAATAAAAGGGAGAGGTGGACTGGGCGTGGTGGTACACACCTGTAATCCCATCATGCTGGGAGGCTGAGGCAGGAGAATCTCAAATTCAAACCCAGTCTGGGCAATTTAGAAATATCCTGTCTCAAATGTTTTTCAAAAAATCTGTTTTAGGGACTGAGATGTAGCTTAATTTAAGGGAGGACCCTGGGTTCAGTCCCCAGTCCCCTCCACACAAAGGAAAATGAAATTCTAAAAATAGCATTTATAATATAACAGATAAATGTAACAATAAGTATAAGACTGGTGCACTGAAAACATTAAAAAATTAAAGAGCTAAATACAGCATTCAGGGGTCAGATGACGTGGCGTTGTGGTTTGAATCAATAACATTTTACTGTGGAAAAGCCCTGAGGTAGGATGTGCCCTGCCCGCCCCTTCCAGCCCTTGCCTGGCATTGTGTGCACCCTGTGACTGCAGCCCCCCCCCCCCACGACTTTGACATCTTGCAAAACACACACTGCGCCCACTGAGCAGCATTCGGGCTGGCGTAGCCTCCTGCCCCTATAGGCTGGACTCTTAAGTGTCTAACATATAAATGGAACCTGGTACTTGGGTTTTGTTTGCTGTGCTTTGTTGCTTTGGCGCAGTACTGGGTTTGAACCCAGGTCCTGCCCACTGAGCTACATTTTCATTTTGAGAGCAGCTGCTGGCGAGGCTGAGGCAGGAGGATCACAAGTTCCACACCAGTTTGGGTGACTGTAGAAGACTCTGTCTGAAACATAAAGAGGCCTCAGGGCGGTCACTGTCCCCCCTTGGCGGTGGCAGCGACTTGGGTGCGGTGAGTTGGTGGCTGAGCCGCAAACCTGGCAGGCATGGCGCGAGCGGGCCCTGATGCTGCACTGCTGCGGAGCTCACCGGGCTTGACGAAGGTGAGGGATTTCCTCGGCCAGAGCGTGCTCCGAAGTTCTTGGAACCAAAAGTGTTTCTGAATCCCTACAGTAAACGTGTTGACTGAAGACACACATACCGACAGGTGAGCCCTGAGCAGAAGCTCCTGTCCCAGAGACTCCTGACTGAGACCAACAGGACACTCGCGGGGCAGAGCGACTTCCTTCCGAGGTGGCTCACTCGGTGTCCATTCTGGAGGACTTCAGTGGACCGGCAGAATCAGACCATGACCACCTGTGGCGGCCCAGCCATCACAACACAAATATACCTGAGCTGGGGAGTGAGGATTGAGAAAGGACAGCACACTCAATAGTGTGGAGACAAGAGGCAGGCCAACAGGAAGCACCAAGCAACTATTAGGGAGGAGATCAGATCCTTGGCTATCTGAGTTCCTCCCATCACAAGGTCAAACTTAACAAGGTCCTTGGGCCAGGCTGGTGGTGCACGCCTGTAATCCCATAAAACCAGTCTGGATTACACAGTGAGCTCCAGGTCAATCTCACCTGTATAGCTGAGACCCTTGTTTCAGAAAAGCCAAACAAACAGATAGAGTCATAGATTAAGAAGTTACTTTTCCAATGTCAAATGCCAGCGGGCTCCCACAACCACTTTACCTGGAGCATCAACCGGCTGCTGGTGTTGGAGGGACAACGCTTACTGTGTGAACCCCGACAGCGGT